CGGGTTACGCTGTATATATATATATATATATATATACATATATATATATATATATGTATACAGTAACCCGGATATAAAAGAGTTGTCGGGACCGGAGAAGAAGTCTCTTATATCCTGGTTTCTCTTATATCCGGGTTTGGTCTATTTTATATACATTAACACAGGCTCTAATTTGGGACCAGATAAAATCTCTCTTATATCCGGGTTTCTCTTATATCAGGGTCTCTTTATATCCGGGTTACGTTGTATATATATATATATATATATATATATATATATATGTATACGGTGAAACCCGGATATAAGAGAGTTGTCGGGACCGAGAAGTCTCTTATATCCGGGTTTCTCTTATATCCGCGTTTGGTCTATTTTATATACATTAACACAGGCCCTAATTTGGGACCAGAGAAAATCTCTTACATCCGGGTTTCTCTTATATCCGGGTCTCTTATATCCGGGTTACGCTGTATGTATATATATATATATATATATATATATATATATATATATATATGTATACAGTGTAACCCGGATATAAGAGAGTTGTCAGGACCGGAGAAGAAGTCTCTTATATCCGGGTTTTTCTTATATCCGGGTTTGGTCTATTTCATATACATTAACACAGGCTCTAATTTGGGACCAGAGAAAATCTCTTTATATCCGGGTTTCTCTTATATCCGGGTCTCTTATATCCGGGTTACGCTGTATGTATATATATATATATATATATATATATATATATATATATATAGTGTAACCCGGATATAAGAGAGTTGTCGGGACCGGAGAAGAAGTCTCTTATATCCGGGTTTCTCTTATATCCGGGTTTGGTCTATTTTATATACATTAACACAGGTTCTAATTTGGGACCAGAGAAAATCTCTCTTATATCCGGGTTTCTCTGTATATATATATATATATATATATATATATATATATATATATATACAGTGTAACCCGGATATAAGAGAGTTGTCGGGACCGGAGAAGAAGTCTCTTATATCCGGGTTTGGTCTATTTTGTTTGCATTAACACAGGCTCTAATTTGGGACCAGAGAAAATCTCTCTTACATCCGGGTTTCTCTGTATTTCTAATTTCTCTACTGTACAACTACTTCATGAATGAAAACTTTTTTTGTAATAACAAGTAGAACTCAGTGGAATCCCTTATTATAGAAATGCATCCTCGTAACAATATATATATATATATATATATTCGGGGAGTTTTAGTAATTATACATAAAAATGTTATATTTGAGGTATTTTTGTAGGTAGTCGATTGGTCACATCAACACTTTGTGTATATATATATATATTTATTAAAGACATTTATATGTTTAACGTTGTTATTTATAGATACAAGTATTTAAGCAAATGCTCTGTTTATGATAAACAGTATTAAATAACATTTACCGGCCTGAATGTCCGAGAAATTTTCAGAGAAAATATTCGTTCTTTGACAGGATTCGAACTCTGTATCCTATGGAAATTGTCATATACGCTGACGTGTTTTAACCGTCTCGGCTACAAAGAAGCGTTCGGCAGACAAGGTCGAATTTACTGTTTATAAACTTTGAATGTACGAGATTCATGGAAGATTGAAGTTTATAAACAGTAAATTCGACCTTGTCTACCGTAAGGTTCTTTGTGGCCGAGCGGTCAAGGCACGTCAGCGTATATGACGGTTCCATTTCTTAACATATATATATATATATATATACGTCCCGAAAAATTTATTTCCGATCGAGCACTATTGAGAGAAAGCGTGAATTTTTAAACAATGACTCCTGCTGCTAATATTGCAAAGCTCTTCCATGAATTGAGCCCTCTCGGTCATCGGCGTGTTTATTCAAAGAGTACGTTGGAGTAATGGATAGCGGCTCGGATCGAAGAATTGGTGAGCCGAGTTCGAAATCCAGTCGAATCCATTAAATTCGCTTACGCCCTACTACCTTTTTGGAAAGGTATTAATCCTCTTCTCCCCCCACCCCCCAGCTATTGGTAATTAGAAAGACAGACCGATTTCTACACCCTTGGATGGCAACTGGTCTCATCAGTCATGTATCGAAAGATACATGATCGCCTAAGAGTGTATCTCGCATGGCCCATAACTGAACTCTAGCATGTAAAAATTCCCCTTTATTTAAACCGAGCACTGATAGCTCAGGGGTAACATCTCTGACTAATGCCAAATGAGTCGGGTTTCGCTCCCGGCTTGAGGCAATCGGATGTCTATCCACACTTAGGAGTTGTCAATATATATTTAATCGATTTCTGACAATATATATTTAATCGATTTCATCCCAACTAAGGCAGCCGCAAAGATACAAGGGGTTACAGGGTGTGGAAGAATTAGGAACAGAAACATTATTAATGAGCGGGAAGAGAAAAGAGTAATGAGAAAGATAGTAAATAGCGATTGACATTGCTTTTAAATTTTTGCGGATTAATTTCGGTGAGAAACCATGGAGCTGGAAGAGAGTTTCACAGAAAAGGAAATGTTAGCATAGAATTTAAAGTTACATCTAGCCAGCACGACTGTAAATTTGTGACATTTCGTAGAATCTAGGTACCATAGCGAAGAACTCACCCGAATAGTTACCAAGTTCTTTGGATTTTATGAAGGAGCTCTTCATAAATAGCAGGAGCACCGGACCATATCTGGCAGCAATATATATATATATATATATATATATATATATTGTATCAAGAGACAGACTGCTTCGCTGTTTCGCAACTCATCAGTGTGGGTAGACATCCGATATATATATATATATATATATATATATATATATATATATATATATATATATATATATATATATATATATATATATATATATTTGTTTGAAATGTCATTTAGTGGATACACGTAGACACACTGCTTTTACTTTCTTTAAAAAAGTGTGAATTAAATCTACTGTTCCGTGAATTTGAGAGAGTTAATAAAGGGATATGGGCTCTCCGGCAGCGTTCGAACCTTCACTTCCATTCTACTGTAAATTACACTCTAATCCGTCATATATTTGACCACTCGTCCGGACTAGACGATTGTTTTCCCTACGAAGTAAGTTGCAGGTTCGAACTCTACAGTAGAGCACATTTTTCTTCATTAAATCTATCAAATACGCAGACTAGTAGATGTAATTCCCCCTGTTTACAAAAGATGAACGTCTAGTCAAACAAAGTGTATCCACTAATATAAGTTTTTGAGTAATCGGAAAGAATGCCAGCTTACAAATAAAATCCGTTACTTCCCTATATATATATATATATTTGTGTGTGTATGTGTGTGTGTGTGTGTTGTGTGTGTGTGTGCGTATGTGTATGTGTGTGTGTGTGTGTGTGTGTGTGTGTGTGTAATACCTCAAACGTTATTTTGTGAATAATCGTATTTGAAATAGACACCCCATTATTATTTACACAGTGTATATAAATTGGGGCCTCTACCTCAAATATGAGTGTCCACTATTATAAGGTTTGGAGGATTTCGTATTATAAGTCCATTAATTCTTCATATATATATATATATATATATATATATATATATATATATAACACACACACATAGCGCGCGCGCACACACACACACACACACACACACATATATATATATATATATATATAATTATTTATTTAAAAATATGATTCCAAATCGCGACATAAGAAGTCCCATTAATTATATTTATGCTCTACTTTTGTATCGAGCACTATTTTTTAAAAATAATAACTAAAATACTAAGGGACTTTGGATTATTTACCTAACCAGTTCCTTCCTATTTTCTATATATTTTCACACACACACACACACACACACACATATATATATATATATATATATATATATATATATATATATATATATATATATATATATATATATATATATATACTATATATATATATATATACACTGAGACATTAGGTTTATAATATCCAGAAATTCATAGACGGGTGTCCTCAAGGACACGTGGCACAGTGGATGAAGGCGTTGGTTAGATCCAGTGACGGGACCAAAAGAGTGTGAGTTCAATACCCGGTTAAAGGAAATTAAAAAGAGATAACTGGCATCCATTAAACATGACAGACGCTGTGATTTTATTTTTGTTAGTTCTTCATATCATTGTTTATGACGTTCCATAATCATTTTCAAATCAGGCTGGAATTGCACAGCTCGTTGCACGTTGTTAGCATTTGTAAGAAAATGATTTCCAAGTTTATCGGCTAATTGGAGGCCTTCTAGATGCTAACGACTGTCGCCGATGGCTAAGAATGCGGCTTCCTTGTCGAACTCTCTGCTTCCGGACGGAGAGGAACGCAGATGAGGCTATGCCGAAGGGCAGAGTCGCATTTGGGGAAGTAGACAAACCAATTTTTGTCCGAGCCTACTCCTTGTGACACTTCTTGCCTTGTGGGGAGGTTGGTAATTAGAAAGGATATATATATATATATATATATATATATATATATATATATAGAGAGAGAGAGAGAGAGAGAGAGAGATAACTATACTCGTTTCGAAAAACCCTCGAATTTTGATTTGCCAATAATCAAATCAATCTTGAAGGAAAAAAAAGGTTTTAAAAAAAAAGAGCTGAAACATGAAAGTCTGTCGAAAAAATCGCACAGATACAGGTTTGAAGCCCAAAGAAAAAAAAAAAAACCCGACACGAGTAAACAACTAACAAAAAAGAGCTCAATACAACCGTAGAGCAGACCTAGATAAACCTAGTGAGCCAGACAAATATTTTGTTTTCACCTAAACGGATCGTTAGGGAAAGTTGGTCAACTTTCCCCCGACGATCCGTTTAGGTGAAACTTAGGTAGGTTTGTTTGGCTCACTAGGTGTATCTATATCTATCTATCTATCTATCTATCTATCTATCTATCTATCTATATATATATATATATATATATATATATATATATATATATATATAGAGAGAGAGAGAGAGAGAGAGAGAGAGATGGATGGCCTGAGAGAACGATAGAAGACGAACGATTCGAGATAGATGTGCTGCTTCAAATAGATAGGTGATCTGGTAGTAAAATAGACGACGAATAGGCTTAGATAGATAGATAGATAGATAGATAGATAGATAGATAGATAGATCTTTTTGAAGTACCACACGGCTACTTCGTAAGATACTGTCGTTTTCCTTGAAAGGAAATTGCTTAAAATTACAACAAGCTTCCTGGGCGGAAAGATATCTACAATGTCAATTAAGATGAAGCGTGCCGCCGACTTTCGATATATCCGTTCGCCTCGGCAACAAAGTGCTATTTAAATGAGAATAAACACCCTCCACAAGTACTAACAGTGTAAGACCAGTGAATGTCAACCAGGAAATTGGAGGAGACGTCGGCGACGGCAAGGTCACCGGGATCAGTTCATTTCTTTTTGGGCATAACACGTATTCCCGAATTAGTTCTACTCCCGTTCTCGGGTAGTTTTATTTCGGGACTCGCAGTCGTTAGTATCGCATAACACAAGTGTCGCCAATATAGAAACGAACGGCGGGAGTGGGTGGGTACTTTAGGCTAAGATGTCGTAGGTAAATTAATACTATACTGTAACAAAGGAAACCTTTTTTTTTATGGCTACTCGTCATTGTGTAGACAAAATGAATACTGCATTGCTTCAAATCTGCATTATTGCCCTAAAATAATGACCTTGTGTCCGAATATTATGGCGTTTATATATGACGGAGCAATTGACAAACAAAACATGCAAATACAGTACATAGGGCCCACCTACACCAGAGAGTGGGCGATCACTATATGGAAAAAATAGATTGGATTCCCTTTTACTTCGGTAAATTGTTACTTAATCTTGTTACGTAGAGTTTCGGCATTTTGTAAATTATAATTGATTGATGTTACAAAATTGTTTACTTGCAATTTGCAATAAATTTGGAGGTTACACAAGGACATATGTTTAAACCGTGTTAAAGTTTTAAAAAATAGAGTCAAAAAATAATCGATCCTTTTTCAAAACCGTGCAAAAAGAGAATTAAGTGTGTGTGTATATATATATATATATATATATATATATATATATATATAGTCAGCCTAATTCAGGGTTCCTCCTTTGTGTCAAATTAAGTCAATGCATATTACAAATTGATCTGAAAACTCGAATCTTGTTCTTAAATAGCTTAGACTTTAATATTTAATGTTTATGCATGGAACCAAACCCGTTTAAAAATATTTAAACTGTCTGTTGTATACAACCGCTTTCAAAGATGGTTAAAAACAGCTTTGAGCGAGTAAAATCTGTGAGTCTAGGCAAAGACCACACTTCTTAGGACCTTTCAGAAACATCTGTAATCCAAATCGCTATAAAATTAGCATAACGTGATGAAAACCTGCTCCAAACTTAATGAAAATAGTTTTATCGTCAAAATCTTTGTTATTATTAAGTGGAAAGATCAAATTTTTTTGAATATTAAATTAAGTCTTTTACTTCTTTTTAGAACATTCGAAATTTTGATCAAAAAACTTGTTTTTCTTGTGTCAGTGAATGTAATATATTTTAGCATACCAAATTTTAGCGTCTTCTTTGTAGTGACAGACACATTAATTTGGAATTTTATTTTTATTTTTAACTAATAGTCAGATTTTCATGAAACTTTCAGGATTCCTTCACAAATGAATTAAATTATTTTAGAAATGTTTGTCGTTAGAAAATCTTGGTAAAATATATATTTTTACCTGTGTTTCAGCCCCCTTACTTTTATTTAAAGTATTCACCCCAAGCAAGGCCGGAGTGCCACTAGTACGCTGGGGGTTACGGAGAGTGAAAGTGAGAGAAAAGATTGGATGTAGAGGGTTGGGGAGAGGAAAAAAATAGGACAGGGATTAAAACAACAGAAGATGGCGATTGACGTTGCATTTAAATTTTTTGAAGGTTGTAGTTATCAGGAAAGCAAATGAGAGACGGAAGTTCCAATGTCGGGAAGTACGAGGAAAGAAACTGTTGGAGTAGAAGTGGTGGTTCCATTTAACTATTTCAGCAGTAAATGGGTGGGACCTCGTTGCCATGAAACTATTTGTAGAAAAGACAGAGGGAAGTCTGTGAGAAAGGGACACGAGACCAGATATGTCAGCAGTATTCAATGAATGGTAGATTTGTAGATGTGGGAGATGGACCCTGACGAGAAATAACTTCTGGTATGAAACAATACTTAATTTTATGAAAACTTGAGAAATTCAACGTGATAATGTCAACTGTATACAACCGCTTTCTAAAGCGAGTGAAGCCTGTGGCTCTTCGCAAAGACCAAGCCATTTTGAAGGGTTACCATTTTACAGGGTTACAAACAAAGATCTGTATCAAATAACAGAAAGCGCACAATTCGAGGATTTCAACAGCAACAGTTAGAATGGAGATCACTGTAACTAGAAGAGAAAATCATCATCAAGGTGTGGACCTTCCACACCAACTCAAACAAAAGGTTAGGAAGGAAATCCCCATCAATACTGGAAAGAGTTATAGCTCCAGAAAACTATTCTCCTAAAAAAAAAATGCTTTGAGAGAAATATTTTATATAGTCCTGGCTGCTCAGTCAATGAATGATGAACGTTACCTTATAAGGAAACGGCTAAAATTTCTATTGCCATTCCTGGAATTTGTTCGCAATTTAAAAAAAAAATCAGCATTATGATTATTTTATGATTTGTTATTTGGACAAGAATACTCATCATTTCGACCGTTATAGTCTCTAACAGTCTTCAGGTGCCTGCGTTTGTACACGGTAATATTCTTGTAATATCAAACTAATATTACATTCGTTACTACTCGGGTCAGTTTGGTGCTTATTCTCAAACATTTTGGTCGTTGTACTCTCTGACCATCTTCAGATGTTTATCTGTGTACACAGTAATCATCTTAGAATTTCGAACCATTAGTATATACTTGTCATTAGAAAATCTTGGTAAAATATATATTTTATAAAATATATATATATATGCCATCTTGGTTGTCATACTCACAATGTTTCGGCCATGTTTTGAACCAGAATCACTTCAATCCACGGGGCCAGATTGATTTCATTTCGTTTTACGTGCTTAAGGGAGATAACTCACATCAGTTAATACTCACCAATCTCATTCACCTCGTTGTCACTTGTCTTTTTCTTTCACGATATCAAAACATGTATTTTTCATGGTAATTGTTCTGGTGTGCTTTCCTGTTTGATAGCTCGACTGTACGAATTTAAAGCGTAGTACTAGATTAGAAGCTAGGTTTCATCATTTTACCGTTGGTTAATTTTGTTTAGCGGCGTACAACGCCTCTATGAGTTATTTAATGTCGAAATCACAATCCTTTGAACACAATTTTATGGCTTCAAATAAATACATTTGGAACGCTTTTGTATGCTTTCAGTTACAGATAAAATGTATTGTTGGTCATTTAGCTATCAAATGCATTGTTGGTATATATCTTAATATAAAATTGTATTGTTGGTTACTTTGGTTTAAATATGCATTGTTGGTAATTTTCCTATAAGTAGGCAATGTTGATGGGTTGATTTCGTTTAGATCGATTTTTTGTTTAACGGCATATCAAATCCTTAGGGGGTCATTTAATGCCAAAATTTTATTCGGAGCTTTGAGGTAATAAAAATGTTATTCTGATTTCACAGTTGAATACATGGTAGATGATAGTCAGCTTTTGTGCATATATATTTTTGTGTGGACAATATTGCTAGAGGTGGTAATATGTGTTTTATGTTGTAGTCTTGTTCAAGTTATATTTTGGAATACAGTTTGATTCCATTAAGATTGCAAGTAAACAATTATGTAACATCAATCAATTATAATTTACAAAATGCCGAAACTCTACGCAACAAGATTAAGTAACAATTTACCGAAGTAAAAGAGAATCCAATCTATTTTTTTCCATATAGTGATCGCCCACTCTCCGGCGTGGGTGGAACCTATGCACTGTACATACATCTGGCTATGTGTAAGCGCTCCTTCAGACGGCACCCGGCGGCAGTCGTTAGCATATTCTATGGATTAATGTCATGAAAGAGTTCTTTTGTATTGGTTGTTTCGTTGGTTGATTTTGTTTGCGGCATATGAACCTCTATATATAATTTAATGCCGAAATATAAATATTTTGAACGCAATGTATGCCTTCAACTACAGATAAAATGTGTTGTTGGTCATATTGCTTTAAATATGTATTGTTGCTAATTCTACTATAAATAGGTATTGTTGGTTGTTGTTTAGCGATATATCAACTTCTATAAATAATTTAATGCCGAAATCTAAATATTTTGAGCGCACTTGTATGCATTCAACTACAGATAATGTAGCGTTGTTAATTCTACGATAAATAGGCATTGTTGGTAGTTTTTTTAATATAAAATGTATTGCTGTTATTTTTAGTATAAAAATGTATTTTTATAATTCCATAAGATTTGTTTTTGTTTAGGGATTCATTATTTGCCCAGAGCTGTGACCCTAACAGGTGCTACCTCCCCGGGTCAGGGTGGCACTGGAAACAACAACAATTAAGAGGGGGTTCCATGCTCCTCAAAACCTCCAATCTTCTGATCGGAGGTTTTGCTGCCGGATGTAGTTTATCGTCATACCCAGGACTATTTACAATTGAAATTGCTATATGCAAACAGTTTCTTCTCTCATACTTTACGATTGTGGAAGTCATTTTTGGCTTCTTGCTTCTCAGTTACCTTTGATCTTCTGCCTCCTAAATTCCTGTTTAATTATTGTTCTCTCTTCTTAATAATGTCGTTCCTTTTCACTCGTTCTTTCGCACCCAGTAACCTCTTGCGTTTTAGTCGCTTTATTGCCTGGCTTGGGATGGAATGATTTTAAAGAAAAGTTTTATGAATCCGATACGTATTTAACAAACGTTTTACTCCATTTGAATATTTGTCACTTGAACAACCGATTCCCGTTGATTGAATAAAGTGTCCCATTTAAAATTCCTTGAAAATTATCATACAAATACCCGATGAAGGACGGAGAAGACAACAGCCGAAACTTTGGGAGTATAACAACCAAGTTGAGTATGTTTGTCCTAACCAGTCCGTCCCTTAAGTGAGAAGATTTTTCCGCTGTAGGTTTGCATTTCTTTCTGGTGTAGACTGGTTGCCAATCAAGGCTATAGACCCAGCCTGTCCTGCTATTCAAACTATAGCTGGAGGGAGAAAAATGGTTTCATACCGTTCCCAGGTGTTTTTACGCGTAAGTGAATGTAACGACCTCAACTGGAATTCGAACTCGACTCTCCGATTTCTCCGAGCCGATATCCATTACGCTACATCCCTAACAGCAAAGCGTATAATACTCTAGCAGCACATATCCATTGCAATAATAGCGGGAATGAATACTCCTACATTTGCGCTCGTAAGCATACACAACACACGCACACACGTATATATATATATATGTATATATATATGTATATATATATATATATATATATATACTAGCAGGTTCACCCGTTGAAATCTTTGAAACAAAAATTTTTATATGAACATTTCATTCATAAATTATCTTGTTATAGTTAAGGAAAGTTTTACAAATAGATGCCAACTTGTTTCTGACGTCTATTGCCGGACACACATTTATATGTGTGGGAGGGTAAATGTTATCAGAGATTTAAGTTCGAATTCCGGTCGAATTCATTACGCCCACTAAATCTTTTAAAAGGGTCTAAATCTATCTCTTCTCCCTCTAAATTATGGGCTAAATATCAGGGCACACTACCCCTCTAACCTTCTTGGCAAAGAATCTAGAATTTCAAAATGGTTGGTTGACTATACCCAGTAAAAACATAGATGCTCTAGAAATCCACGAAGCAAACTGTATCTCATAGAATCTGTGGACATACCTATATCTCCACCGGGGGGTAACTCTAACGAGGGAGAGGACGGCCGGTCGACGTTTAACTAGTCTCTTCTTTATGAGATTTTTTAATAGGCTGAGTATAATGGTTATTTGTCTCTAGACGTGGTCCTACAGGAGACATGGAGGCGCCTTACCTGTCAGGCATCCTGAGGGAGTGAATTAAATTCAAAATGGAGAATAAAAGAAAAGAAGCAGCTCCTGAAGAACGGAAACTTCAACGGCTGCAGGAAGATCTCCTGCAGTCGGAGGACAAAGTTATGCCTCTTTCGAAGAAACGTCCTTAATCAACAGAGAACTTGCAGGCAAATCTCTACCTAATGTTCGTTTGCTAACCTAACTCATACATATATATTTTGTTTTTTAAATAAGCATACACAAGAACACACACGTATATATATATATATATATATATATATATATATATATATATATATATATATATACTAGAAGGTTCACCCGTTGAAATCTTTAAAATAAAATTTTTTATATGAACATTTCATTCATAAATTATCTTATAGTTAAGGAAAGTTTTACAAATCGATGCCAACTTGTTGAAGGCCAAGTAAAATGCAAATTTCAAACACTTTTCTGCACTATATAAGACGATATTCCCAAACAGAACTATTTTTTATATAAAAATGCAAACAATCCTCGAATAAAATAACAGTAATGAAGGACAGGTAATTATTAAAATTAACTTAAATCAATATGCAAATTAGATAATTGCATCAGAGAGAGAGAGAGAGAGAGAGAGAGAGAGAGAGAGAGAGAGAGAGAGATGCTTGTTTGACCGCACGCAAGGGGTTACAGAGGATTGAGAACAAGAGTAAAGAGGCGTGTTTGAGGAAAGGATACAGAGAAGGACGGGGAACAAGTTCAAGGTATAAGATATCGATTGACATTACACTTGAATATTTGAAGATTATAGTTATCGGGGAAGCAAGTAAGGGGAAGGGAATTCTACAGACGGGAGGTGCGAGAGAAGAAGCTGTCGGAGTAGAAGAAACGGTTACATTTAACCGTTTCAACAGTGAAGGGTGGAACCGGTATATCAATCTAGTAGCTCGATAAATTCATGCAGTCTGGGAACCAGCGAAAGTAGCTCGTCGGAACAGTTGCCGTGAAAATACTTGTAGAAAAGACAGAGGGAAGCCACGGCACATCTGTGAGAAAGCGACTATAGACTAGATGTCACATCAGGACCTATCAAACTGCATATTTGTCTCTGGATTTTGTCAAGGACTTCGAGACGTACAGCGGGGGCATTAGTCCATATATGGCAGCAATATTCCCATAATCTAAATACTCTTAATGGACGGCACCTTTAATATTCCACCAGAAACAAATCAAAGACTTATGAGGATGGACTTGTATTTTTGTTGTTGGTACTGGTTTCTCATTTTGTGAAAGCCATTGTATTTCCCACTTTCTAAGGACTTGCAAAACACATTTTTCATTACCTGCAACAATGCGATGGAAAAATGTAGTTGAGTCATAATTCATAGAGGTATGTGCTATGTGTTCGCGGGTTTATTAAGAGATGTGACGAAGTATATCAAAACTCAGCTTGATGGACGCCCTGCTTTCGGGCAGTGTACACAGTCCTATACTTTTCGTAGTATTCAATAAATATATATTTTTTTATGCCTGTCATTTCATGACTAAAAGACGAATAATGGAAAATAGAATAAAAAGAAAGAAAGAAAGAAAGAAAGAATAGACAGGAAAGAAAGAAAGGAAGAAGGAGGAAAAACTGGCAGGGAAGAAAGAAAGAATGGAAGAAGGAGAAACAGGCAGGGAAAAGAAAGAAAGAAAGAAAGAAAGAAAGAAAGAAAGAATAGACAGGAAAGAAAAGAAAGGAAGAAGGAGGAAAAACTGGCAGGTAAGAAAGAAAGAATGGAAGAAGGAGAAACAGGCAGGAAGGAAAAAAAGGCAAGGAAAGAAAAAGAAAGAAAGAAAGAAAGGAAGAAGGAGGAAAACTGGCAGGGAAGAAAGAAAGAAAGAAAGAAACAGAAAAGAAAGAAAGAAAGAAAGAAAGAAAGAAAAGAAAGAAAAGGAAGAAGGAGGAAAACTGGCAGGGAAGAAAGAAAGAATGGAAGAAGGAGAAACAGGCAGGGAAAAGAAAGAAAGAAAGAAAGAAAGAAAGAAAGAAAGAAAAAAGAAAGAATAGACAGGAAAGAAAGAAAAGGAAGAAGGAGGAAAAACTGGCAGGGAAGAAAGAAAAAGAATGGAAGAAGGAGAAACAGGCAGGGAAAAGAAAGAAAGAAAGAAAGAAAGAAAGAAAGAAAGAAAGAAAGAAAGAAAGAAAGAAAGAAAGAATAGACAGGAAAGAAAGAAAGGAAGAAGGAGGAAAAACTGGCAGGGAAGAAAGAAAGAATGGAAGAAGGAGAAACAGGCAGGGAAAAGAAAGAAAGAAAGAAAGAAAGAAAGAAAGAAAGAAAGAAAGAAAGAAAGAAAAGAAAGGAAGAAGGAAAAAACTGGCAAAGAAAGAAAGAAGAAGAAGGAGAAACAGGCAGGGAAAAGAAAGAAAGAAAGAAAGAAAAAAGAAAAGAAAGAAAGAAAGAATAGACAGGAAAGAAAGAAAGGAAAGAAAGAAAGAAAGAAAGAAAGAAAGAAAGGAAGAAAGAAACAGGCAGGGAAAGAAAGAAAGAAAGAAGAGAAAGAAAGAAAAAAGAAAGAAAAAGAAGGGAAGAAAGAAAGAAAGGAAGAAGGAAGAAAAAAGGCAGGGAAAGAAAGAAAGGAAAAGGAAAACAAAGAAAAGAAAGAAAGAAAGAAAGAAAGAAAGAAAAGAAAGGAAAGAAAAATAGACAGAAAGGAAAGAAGGAGGAAAAACTGGCAGGGAAGAAAGAAAGAATGGAAGAAGGAGAAACAGGCAGGGAAAAAAAGAAAGAAAGAAAGAAAGAAAGAAAGAAAGAAAGAAAGAATAGACAGGAAAGAAAGAAAGGAAGAAGGAGGAAAAACTGGCAGGGAAGAAAGAAAGAATGGAAGAAGGAGAAACAGGCAGGGAAAAGAAAGAAAGAAAGAAAGAAAGAAAGAAAGAAAGAAAGAAAGAAAGAAAGAAAGAAAGAAAGAACAGGCAGCTAAGAAATAAAAAGAAAGAAAAGGAGGAAAACGGGAAAGAAAGAAAAAGGAAAAACAGCGAAGAAAGAAAGAAGAGGAGGAAAATCAGATAAGAAAGAAAAAAAGAAAGAAGAGGAGGAGGAAAACAGATAGGAAAGAAAGAAAGAGGAAAAACAGACAAGGAAGAAAGAAAGAAAGAAAGAAAGAAAAAAGAAATAAAGAAGTGGAAAAACACGCAGTAAAAAAAAAAAGAAAAAAGATGAGGCTAGAAAGATGAAATTAGAAAACTTGAAGTTAAAATAAAAAAATGAAAAAAATAAGAAATAGAGAAAAATAAAACATGAGAACCTAAAGAATAAATTGATTTGTTTTTTTTTTGCAGGTTATTTAAAGTCAGAAAATACTTTTAAATGATAAGAATTCTTTTCGTAGATAATAACAGTATAGCGATACAAGTCTTACTAATTAACCCATGGTAGGGGAAAGAAGAGGTGGATTCATACCTTTTGCAAGGGTTGTTTGGCGCGTAAGTGAATATAACGAATTCAACTGGAATTTGAACTCGACTCTCCGATTAACAATTCCGAGTCATTATCCATTACACTGACCGCACATCCAAGCTTACAGCACAAGGTATTCCTAAGCGGTCACTCGTCTAGGTTCTGACCAGGATCGAGGTTGCTTAACTTCAGGCTTCCAAGTTTTAAATATAAGAATTACAGAAAAAAGGTAAAATAGAAAACCAAAAGGAAAAAAAGAGAGAAAGAAGAAAAACAAAGAAAAAGGAAAAAAAATAAATAAAAAGAAAATAAATAGAGAAAACAAAGAATATTTAAAAGAAATGGAATAATGGATAACGGCTCGGATTGAGGAACCGGAGAGCCGAGTTCGAATTCCAGTTGAATCCATTACATTCACTTACGTACTAATACTCTTGGGAAAGGTATGATTTCTCTTCATCTCCTCCCAGCTATGGGTAAATAGCAGGACAGACCAGGTTCTATAGCTGGTACTGCAGAAAGAAATAGCAACATAGTGCGGGAAAAAAACTGCTTGTCGAAAGATACATGATCGCCTAAGCGTGTATCATGCATGGTACATAAATGACTGACAAAAATAGGGAAATCCTTTAAAAATAACAAAATACAAAGAAAAAAAAAAACAAAAGAAAAACGGAGAAAAAAAATGGAAAAATAAGAAAAATCAAAATTCACATGTTCAAGAATTAAACTTAAAAGTCAAGTCAAAAAGTGAAATAGCAATAATCGTGAACTGAAAATAAAAATATATTTCTAGTTTGCGTGTCGATGTCCAATTACCTTTCATCTGAAACAAAGTTTAGATGACAGCACTTGTTTGAGTGTAGTCTTCCCGATTCAGTGAGGAACACTGGCGAATATCAAAATTCAAACGTGCACGCATGCGCGGTGAAGCATACCTACATCTTCCACTTGGACAACTCAAGAAATCAAATAGGAGGAATGCAATCGAAACATGAGAAGAATCATTGCTCGAATTGTGTCCATCTCAGATCAAATTGTATTCATTTTAACTATTGAATCCTTCTCCTGGAACGATGTCAATTCAGAGTAGGCGAGAAGATATTACGCTTTGACTTTTCTACTTTTTCCAAATTGGGAGATTTCTTCTCGTCATAAGTAAATATGAAACACATGAGGAACACAGACAAAGGAATTGTGTAGGTGACTCTTAAAAAGGATTTATTTCTTGTTGTAATAAAGAAATTAAGCTTTTATTACTTTGATTTCTCTTGTTATATTTTATTGAGTTTAAACACAGATTAACGATCTTGTCGAAACAAAATCGCTAATCTCTGTTTACTTTTCTCCAGTCTTCTAGAATACACTGTCTTCCTTTCTATCCCTTCAACCGTTCTCTCTTTCTTTCTTTCTTTCTTTCTTTCTTTCTTTCTTTCTTTCTTTCTTCGTCACCACGTCCCTTTCTCTCTTTTTTCTTTTACTGACATGCTGTTTTATTATTCTTATTTTTGTCACACCCTATCTTTCATTCATTCGTTCTTTCTTTCTTTCTTATTTTCGTTACCATCTTCCCTTTCTTTCTTTCTTTCTTTCTTTCTTTCTTTCTTTCTTTCTTTCTTTCTTTCTTTCTTTCTTTTTCCGACGTGCTGTTTTACTATTATTATATTCGTCAACCTCGCCTCTCTCGCTTTCTTTCATTCTTTTCAGCACTTTTTCTTTTCCATTCTCATAACAATGCTAAAATTAATCACCGTGACGCCCACCAGCTTCTTCTTCTTCTTCTTCTTCTCTCTCTCTCTCTCTCTCTTTCTTTCTCTCTCTCTCTCTCTCTCGTTTGTTCTTCATTAACGTTTCAGGATCTATCCCCAGTTTGATCCACTTGACTACAAGGACAGTTCGAAGCTCGCCACTCACACCGACGACCATTTCCGACAATTCAATCAAATCCTTCAATACAGGGCCAAATGAGTCCCCCGTGGAGATGACACTCCCATCATCCTGTGCCAAAACAAAAAATGGTCTGAATGTAAAGTTAGAAACTACATTTCAGCAGATAATTGCTGGATCATGGCCGAGATGTTTTCCATCTTCATTATCTGATAGTGAAACAAATAATTACGATGTCTGCGCCAATGTTTCCTGGAAATGTGTGTTTGGACAAGGTCGTTAGGGACAAACGGCTAATGAACTGACCGGAAGTCATATGTTTCCGGCTAACGTTATTGATCCAAAACCAATGGAATCATAGAAATAATTTCTTTAAGGTTCTCGTATATTCTCTGTCTCTCCGAGTCCGTTCATTATCTATCTATCTATCTATCTATCTATCTATCTATCTATCTATCTATGTCTGTTCATTATCTATCTATCTCTGTCTGTTCATTATCTATCTATCTATCTATCTATCTATCTATCTATCTATCTATCTATCTATCTATCTTTTTTCCATTCCAACAAGTCAGTAAAAGAACTGTACAAGTTAAACAGACTTATTGTTTTCGCTAATAGGATAAAGTAAAAATTTATCCCCCTCACGCTTTTATATTTTTCAGTAAAAGAATCGTACAAGTCATACAGACTTATTGTTGGTTAAGATGGTAAAGAGACCCCCTTCTCATTTCTTAATTTTACGTACCCCCGCAGGAAAATGGACGAATTTAAAAGTGCAATAATGAAACATCAACAGGAACAACAACTAGTGTTGGGACAAAAATATCAAGAAATTCCAACGAGAACAACCAGAATACCAGAAGAAATTTGAGGTATTGCACCTAAAAATTAATGTTAGACAACAGATAATGGAAGAAATGTTCCTTCAAACACAGAATGAGCAAAGGCACTTGTATAATATATCCATCAAAAGGCAAAATGAGGACAGCGTTCTCTCAAAATGCAATATGGAGTACTTTTGAAAACTTCCCGTTTGCACCTGAAGAAGAAATTACATTCGCTTCGTACTTTAAACGTTACGAGGACTTATACAATACGGATTAAGCAGATTGGGCTCAGGATAAAAAAGTTCGTCTACTCCTTAGGAAATTAGGCACAACAGAATATACTAAGTTTGTTAACTATATTTTGCCTAAGAAAACCAGTGACCTGAAGTTTAAAGAGACGCTTCAATCATTAACAGAACTCTTCAGTCCAAAAACATCACTGTTCCACAATCGTTGAAAATGCATGAATTTCACCTGCATAGAAGACGAAGATTATATTCCTTTCGCTAGGGTAGTCAATAAACACTGCGATGACTTCAAATTGGCAGAGTTAAGAGCCAATAATTTTAAATGCCTGATTTTCGTCCAAGGTTTGATTTCAGCGAAAGACGCCGAAATACGTCGTAGGGTGCTCACCAATCTTGAAAACGAGCCCGATGTTACTTTACAGCAAGTTACCGAAGATTACCAACGTTTCGCGAGCGTCAGAGAGGATTCGAAAAACATTGACATGAGTGACGTGACTCACATTAAAAAAATACGCCAATAAATAAATAAATAAAAAGGGTCAACCAAAAAATAATAAAGTTACTTTGCCGTCAAGACCATGTTTCGGATGTGGTCAATTACATTGTTCTTTTAAAGATCAAAAATATTTTAATTGCGATAAATTGGGACACAAAAGTTCCCACTGAAGAATTAAGAACAAGACAAAAAATGTTTTGTAAAAATTAACAAGTTTGATGAACCATAAAGTTACAACATCAGAAAATATATTGAAGTGCAAATATTTGCCAAAAATATAAGGCTACAGCTTGATTCGGGTTCAGACTCATCCATAATTAATTATCAAACATGGAAAAAATTGGGCAAGCTGACTTTGTTAAGACTTCGATAGAATCATTGAAGGTAGACCATGCCTTAAAGAAATACAAAAATTGGACTGTATTGTGTGATTTTTATTTGAAAAATGCAAAGTGGAAAATGTCATGATGCCATTTCTGACCTTAGGTCTCTGGTCGGGAACCGAACAGAAATAATTATATGACAGAAATCAAAAGGAATAACAACAACAACAATAATAATAATAATAATAATAATAATAATAATAATAATAATAATAAGTTGTCAAAGTACAAGTACCTTGAAATAGAAATCTCGAAAATGTGGCATATGGGAACATCAACAATCCCTGTTGTAGTTGGAGCCCTAGGACTGGTTGGAAAAGATTGCAGTAGACTAATTGAAGGGATTCCTGGAAATCCATGCCTCAAGGAGATACAAAAAATTGTTCTGACAAGTACAGCCAACACCTTATGAAGGGCTTTATCTATGTAATTTAATTCTTTTTTTCTTTTTTTTTTTTTTTCTGTCAGTGGAAAGCGAATAGATAGATAGATAATGCCATTTCTAACCTTAGGTCCCTGGGCGGGACCCGGAAAGAAATGTGTAAACGCCAGAAATCAAAGAAAATAAAAATAATAATAATAATAATAATACAGAAGAAGAAAACGACACGACGACGATTTCTAATAGTGATTTTGTCACCTCACAGAATAAAAGACTGTCAGAATGTAAAAAGATAGGGTATTATAGAGCTTGCCAGAAAGTTAAGGAAGTTGTGTGGCATGGGAGACGTGCTAGTTACTGGTCGCTGGGAACCGTTCCGAATTGATTACGAAAAAGATTGAAATAACTTGTAATTGGAGCTGTCCGGACGACTGCATTACTAAAAACAGACCCTACTTTTCAGAAGAGATCCGGAGGTTTGAGGGGACTTGTTGTCACTTAGCCTTAAGAGTAAACCACTACTTAATATTGCTGTGAACAGTGAGCGAATAATAATAAGAACTGTATGAGAGTATCACTTGTCGGTCTGCTGCTCTCTCTCACATACTACTACTACTAATAATAATAATACTAATGATAATGTATTTTTCATATTCCTAATAAAACTGTCACGTCAAAAGAGACACTTCTGTGAGTTTATAAATATCTAGACGGGCAGGCTGTCAGTCTCG